TACGTATACATATATTCATAAATTTATATATGTATAAGACCGAGTAAGCTAGAAATACAATATAAACATGGACAACTTTACAGCAAACATACATGAACGCAAAAAAGTAGACTACTGGTAAAAGTAAACGGGACTAAGTCTGAGACGGGAGTGTTTCGTACAAAGACTTACGGAGGCAAAGTGATTGTAAGGTTCGAGAGCAAAGTAGGGGTCTTTGTGGTAGAAGGGGGGGGGTGGGAGGGTGTATAGTAGGATGTAATTACTCGTGGAGCAAACTATAGGGTGGGGGAATCCTTCACAGGGTTCTTTCAACGACGAGGGGCGGTCGTAACAAAGTAACAAAGTTTAGTAAAAAATATTTTTGTGACCAAAATAAAGACGGAAGAATCGTGTGTATAGAAACGAACGACACTTACAAAAAGTCTACTAGACAGTCTGACGACGCGCTCCCGTTCGAGGAAGGGCGTGGAACCAATCGAAAGACCGTCTGTGGAATGACGAAATATATACGAGGAACGTCGAAGAGAATCGAAGCAACTACCCTTTAAAACAAATTCTACTTTCATGAAGCTTTTCCGACATCTTTCCCTGATTCGTACAATCACAGTATTCCCTGTTTATAGTCGCGCTTTGTCGATCCCGTTAATATCATCACTATTAAGTGGATTAAGATCATCACTAATCTTCGTATTTGTCAGTAAAGCAAAGGTAGTCAATGAAAGATTGCAAAATCGTATCTGCGTCTCCGTATGTGCGCGTTAAGCTGCGTCTACACTATATAGCACAACAGTGTTACACAACAAATTGTTGTATAACCTTGCTATACAACATGGTTTTATAACTTGTTACAAGACTTTTTATACCTTTCAGACAAGTCTGGAACAAGTATGTCTAACATTTCGCGTATCATACAGTTCTCACTGTTAAGGCTTTCGGGTGTAAGCCGTGTCCTTGTGGAATTGTTTTCCCAACGTTTCGCAAGCATTGCAGCTAGCTTCATCAGGGGGTTGAAGACACACTGATACTGGTGTGTCTTCTGGTACTCCTCTGATATACTGGAGCTTGGTCACGTTCCCGTTCATTGCTTACCAATCAAAAATCGAATTTTAATTGTTCAACTGACCATTAAAATTCCCATTTCGATTGGTAAGCAATGAACCGGAACGTGACCAAGTTCCAGTATATCAGAGGAGCACCACAAAACACACACCAGTATCAGTGTGTCTTCGACCCCCTGATGAAGCTAGCTGCAATGCTTGCGAAACATTGGGAAAACAATTCCACAAGGACACGGCTTACACCCGAAAGCCTCAACAGTGAGAACTGTATGATGCCGGGCCGTGAAAGCCTCAAATCTCTGATTTTGCTTATCATTGCTAATAATGGCGTCACACTAAATGGATAACATATAACTTGCTATATAACACGAAAATGTTATGTAACATCATGTTATATAACATTTTTCTTTCTGTTTTTCTAATAAGTTTTATAACTTTGCTATATAACATGTTATGTTGTATACTGTAGAGTGTAGACGCAGCTTTACGAGAGCCGAGCGGCGTAACTATACAAGAGGAACACTGTCTTCTGTACATTGTCATTCTTACGCAGATTTTCGATTATTTTCATTCAATCTCTGTGGATTTGTCGTCGACGTTCGACGGAAAATTTCAAAAGAAGTGTGTAGAAAAGAATGGTTTCTCAGACCAGAATCATCGAGTGTGCTTGAATTGCGTTTAAAGTGTGCGGGGATTGATCCAGACTCTCGAGCAGTTCAGTTAGAAAGTTCAACGTTCACGTGCGGCAAAGCTGACGAAAACGATAAATGAACGGAGAAGATAATCGGCGTGGGCATGTACGACACTTATTTCGAATCCCATGACTTTTACATAGAAGGCTAATGTTCAAATCCTGAAGAGAGCTGTATATAGGGGGTTGCGTTTCCGCTAGTCCCTCAGGCTTGTATTTACACGGAAAATGAAAGCACTGCGAGTGAATGACCCATCAAATGGGATTGTTATGTAAGCGATACAAAATTCTAGGCTACCTAGTTAGTAATTTGTACAAGACTGAAATGAAACGAGATGGTTCCTGGCGTTTCTTGTTGTTGAAAGGTTTGATCCACTGTTCACGAGATCTTTGTCACATTCACGTCTAGATTGTAATAATTATTTACGATGCACCGTTTGATAGTAGAATTTTGATTCCTTGCATTGAAAAATTTCTATGTATAGAATCGATTGAAAGTATGAAGTTAGGTACTGTTTATTTTCAGCAATACTACTTGATCTCTATATGAAATCTGCCGATTTTTTTATAATTTTCTAAATTTTATTCCAAAAACGAACAATCAATTGTCGGTACTTTCTATGGGTGAAATAATGAAAATATAAATCTGGACGCGTTTTATTAAATGTTTAAATAAGAAAAATATTATATCTGGAAGAAAAAGTATTCATAGGGTTTTCTCTTTTAATTTTGATTTTAACTGGTACTAATTATAGTTATTACTTTTAATGGTGTCAAATAATAAATTTAATTACAGTGAATTCAACAGATAAATGTTTGACTCCGTAAATAACCATCAATACATACTTTTATTGGAATTATTTAATAATGAAATTATATACTATTACTTTCTTATTTTCACTCACAGAATATAATGATAGAATATTATGTGATTCATTAATTTTGTAAACGTTTTCTTAATTATAAACATGTAAATCTAGACAGAATTTTTTAATTATGACAAGATCATTTTTAGTGGCTAATATTGAAAAATAGTTACTGTTTGAAATTTATAGTTACATATTTTTTTAGTTTTCCATGTAATTAGAATTTAAAGGTAACAATTTTTATGAATATTCAACAAGCAATTTTGTACTACAGAAAATGTTTCATTATTTCTCTCTGCACTACTCTGAAATATACAAACGTCCTGTTAAAAGAAAAATACAAAAATAAAAATTATACCTGTGATAAACTAAATATGTATTGTATGCATACCTTATATACTTCTTCAAATATGTAGAAATTTTTTCTTCGTGAATAATTAGAAAATTACCTCCGTATCTCAAGAACGATTCGATATTTCATTTATAATACGAAATTAATATCATGCTTTTATATTTATCGAAAATTACACACATTTACAATATTTATGCAATTTTCTGCATAAATTCTATATAAAAATATAAATTTACTAACAATCATCGATGTGTTACGAAAACGATCGTCGCTTTTGATAGATTTTACCACAATTATATTCAAAATAATTTCGACCAATTATTTCTTCGTCACATTTACCACTTTACGTTTTTCGACTATAGTTGATCTCATATTTCTATGCAACAGTGTTTAATTTTTATATCTCTTATTTGTTTCCAACACGGTGCACGAACAACCGGCCTATTTCAGAGCCTCAAATATCACTCTAAATACAAGATAATAATTGCACTTGTATAGTTAACAGATTAAAAACTTCTATTTCGAGTGTAGACCTATACCAACGTAACCGAAAAACACCGATAATATTTACTCTCCCTCTCTAAACAATAACACCATTAATAAGTTACGTCTTTAATTACTTTAACATGATCTAATTAATACAACGAATATACTATCTTTATCAACAGCCCAAACCGAGCAAATCAAGTTTAAGCGCAGTGTAGAATCTTTTGAATGACTTTGGAGTTGGTCACGGATCGTACAATGCAAATAACGAAACGTGCGGAAAGTAGAGCGCAATGTAAATACTGCGATCTATACAAAAGCTGTGAACAATGTACAAGAGCGACAGGTGATCCTTCGGCGTTGGATCGATTTGTTTTAATTCCATGCGAAAGATCGAATGAAAAATTATATATGTACAAGACAGCAAAAGCGTCTGAACGTCTCACCTTCTGCGGCGAAGAACGTGCTTCTTATTTTACACAACGATATAACGAGGTACAAAAATAATTTCTCTTCCGATAGAAATTCGCGACACGTCGAACCATGCCCTGTTCCAATCGTCTCCCGACGTCAATCCTCACGGAATAAATAGTCGCGTCGTAATCACGTGGAAACTGTTAGATCACAGTGACGAAACAAGATGCCGATTGGAAGGAATCCCAAGCTCGCGAGCGTAATCGAGCGTGGCCCTAGACGGACAAGTCTCGAAAGCACGTCATAAGTAACACATCCAAGAAAATCGTTCACCGCTCCCTGTCAAGTTGCGTGAAAAACAGTGCGAGATTTCGAAACAGGCCAAACTAATGACCGCGTCGTCAACAGGGCGGAGAAACGAGTTTTATCGTAACAACGAGTATAACACCTTACCCAAAGAACTTGATCCTCAACTGTCAGAAGATGTGAAACGTTCCCAAAAAGTAGCCTAGATTTGGCATCATTCGCCAAGCTTCCTCTACATCAGAGCTGCATAACTTCTGCTCCCGAAGTCAGTATTCTGCTCCGGGAGTACCCCCATTATGCGGCTCAAGCTGCCGCTACGTATAGAGCGCCGTAGCATGCATGCGACGCTCGGTAGGTAGCGCGGGAGGCAGCCGAAGCGACGTAGTGGGGGTACCCCCGGAGTAGGCACCGACTCCGGGAGCAGAAGTTATGCAGCTCTGCTCTACGTGATACCTATAATTTTGCTTATCCTTGAGAATTACCAGCAGCATTCCATGAGGAACTACTCATCGCGAGGATCCATCGACTATCTAGACTCTACAGCTTCGCAAGCGTGGCTACGGGGGGATACCAAGGAGACACGAAGAAGCAGACGTCCACGTAGGCGACTCTCTAAAAGGAACCGTGAAGATTATTCCAGGTTTGGTGAATCGTCTTCGTCAGCTTAGGTCTATTGAAGCAGCGTTGGAGCAACGCCTCGTCGAGGGATCGTCTGGGTTTGGTGTTTACGCGGTGGGACCCTTGGTTTTCGATGGTTCGCGGTAGTAACGTGTTCACTTGTTCGATCTCTATCGTTTTTGGCTTCCGCTAGGCGAGCAGCAACTCACCGCGGTGAGGGCGTTGCTGTTGCTGCGGTTGCTGCTGCTGATGGAGCTGACGGTGATGGTGATGTGGATGGTGGTGGTGATAATTTAGAGAGAAGGATGGTGACGGGCAGAGGCTGCTGGCCCCGCCCAGTTGTTGCTGCTGCTGGCCGTCGTCGCGGGTCGGCGTTAGGTCCAAGAACAGACCGGATGTCGCGGAGTCGACGCAACTGCAGGACTCGGTGGCCGTCGCGTTGCAGCCGGGACAGCAGTCGGTCTCCGTGGCCAGGCTCATCGGCGTCTCCGGCGAGTCCACAGGTCTCGTGCCAACGAACGAGCTCTCCATCCAACACAGCTTCACGCTCCCTTCGCAGGAGAAGTTTCAATAGATTAGACAGATCGCGAGAGGGCCGATGATCGGCGTTTTTTCGGCTGACTTCTTGTGCAGCTTGACGGAACCGCCCCGTCCTCTCCGAAACAAGGAGGGAACGCGGCAATCGCGACCGAGAGTGTAAAATTGTTCTGTCTGTAGAAAAGGGGGAAGGCCGAGGTATGTTGTTCCTGGTGTATGTTACTACTGTATGTATTTCACTCTTGGTTAGTTTGTATTAGTGAAGCTTCTAATACAGAAATGTTAATTACAATGCAGACAAGCTGATGCAACGGGCGCGAGAGAATAGTGGTTGTGGGTGTCAGAGACGAATCTGATCTGAGAATCTCTTGGTTTATGTCTATGGCGGCAATGATCTCTGCTCGTATATAACCTGTTCATTAACCTTTGGTGCACATATTGCGGTCGTTGTGAACTGGTAGAAAATAAACGTTTTCAAAAGCACATTGCTCAGCATTGAAAGGTATAGTTAACAGTAACGGTACAGAGAAGTAGTACACTGTGCAAGATCATGAACATAAAATCATGAATGTAAATCATAAAGTAATAAATGTGTTTCCAGGGTTATTGGATTGAAATTTCATCTAAATGACAGAAATACATTTGGTATTTTCTTACTAATATGTTCGCACTTTCTTCTATTAAATAATCCTATTTTTTATAGTGTACCGATCTATAGTTTGTTTGACCAAGTCTCGCATCACTAGAAATTCGTCGTTAAGAGTGAACCGAGAATAAGAATTTCAGGAGAAACTATGCCCGGTTTAATATTTACATTTAAACCTCTGTGATCTCCAATATCCATAGTAGGTTTCATTTTAGAACTTGCACCAATATCATCTAATTTCACTGTATTTTAATACTTTTGTTTAAGAATGTTTTTAATTGCTTTAATAATTTAATTTAACAGAACTTTGTAATTGTAATAAAACTGAATGTGTTCATTCGTTCTATTCCATTCGTGATTGGCCAAACTACAGATCGCTCACGATTTACTAATACTTGAGGACATTACAATTATTCAAAAAGTTACGAAGGTTAAGAGTTTAAAAATAATTTGCGTCTTTGGTAATTTTGTATTCTCTGTACCCTTGTATTAACTCCATACGGGCGATATTACAATTTTCAGTAAGAACTGTATCCTACCGTTGACGGGACTTTACATTATGGTCCTAAAATATTGTATAATAAAATGAAGCTATGAACAAGTATAAATACTAAAGAAGAAGTATTTTTATACTATATAAATCGGCAAATTTTAGGCCACTACCTTTGGCTTGAATGACTATTCGAAAAAAATTATTTTTATGACATTATTTGAACTTTATAAACCTCTTTCTTTGAAGTGGAGAGCAGATACATACCTTCTAATTCGAAATTAAAGATACTGTACTTTTGAATAACACTTAATCCCAAACTTTGGATGACATTATAGTAATTAATACAGAAATATGTTAGGAAATGTTTGAACTTCATATTAGGTTTTGAAGTTTATGGTCCAAGAATAAGAAGACTTCATACGATGTACAATTGGAAATAATTATAGATAGTTACATCCATCTCGCGTATAACCCACTCGTAGCTACTCACAACAAAATGTTAACATTTAACTACAGACAACTGGTCTCAGACATAAGTAATCTGACAACGATTATATAACAAATGCTTTTAATAATCAATTGTACGTTATTTTTCGTTACTGTGGTGGAAGTAGTGTGCAACTTCCTGACAATTTTATTGAAGGTACCAAAACGCTATAGCTTTCAAAATTTTCCTCTAGGTTACAAGAGTGAAATGAAAATTCAGACTCGCCGTTGAGACGAGTTGTCTATAGTTAAAGGTTAATACAAAAAAGTACAGATGTTTTTGCACTGTGTGTATTCCAAGTAGGTACCTAATTATCGTCTCTACAACTTAAAGTATCAGAAAACAAAACGTGCGCCCAAGAAAATCCGACACAAATTTTTCATGGAATGTAAGGTTATGTAAGGATTGATCAAGCCAAAGCCCAATGACCATTACTCTTTCAACATCCTGTCCAAGGTTCAACCTCGTGATCGATTGGTGTAAATACAAGATATCGATAAATTTCACGCCATGGTAATTAGTACACGATTGTCAATAATATTAATAAGTAATAAATTCTTGTGGGTGGAGGTATTTCAGAGATTTCAAGGTCACTTTGATTTTTTTTAACGGAATGACCTATTTTTTGCATCATAGATCTATAAGGTATCAAAATGTGAGTAATATACATATACAATACAGGGTGGCCCACGCAATTTGTTCACCCTGAATAACTCATAAAGTATGCATTGTATGAAAAAACTTTTTATAGAAAAGTTATATGGTTTGAAGGGATACATTATGTAATGCATATATTTTTTCTGTAAGTGAAGGCGTTTGGGAGATTGGAAGGTCAACCTCGTTTTTTCAAATGGAATGCTGTACTTTTTATACGAAAATATTGAAGAGCGTTACATTTTGAGTAAAAAAGCACTGACATTTATTAACCGCAAAACTATTAATTAACTAATAATTTCACTTTATTTCTTGAAAATGGTCTGTGTGTGATATCAAAGTTGGAGATTCAATACCAGCAAAGATTTCTGTAAGACCGCGGAGTTTACGTGACAATGTTTACCAACATGGCCGATTCTGCGTATCAAATCGTAATCGCCTATTCTGTCCGTGATTCAGTATTGAAGTTATCGTTAGTGTTGATCTATCTTGAGAAGTTATCATCAATCAAGTTGATATTACGCACACACCATTTTCATAAGTGGTGAACACAAACAAAGTGAAATTATTCGTTAATTATTAGGTTTGCGGTTAATAAAGGTCAGTACTTTTTTACTCAAAATTTAACGCTCTTCGATATTTTGCCATAAAAAATATAGCATTCCATTTGGAAAAACAAAGTTGACCTTCAAATCTCCGAAATGCCTCCACTTACAAGAAAAAAATATGCATTACATTATGTAACCCTTCAATCCATACAACTTTTCTCTAAAAAGTTTTTTGATACAATGCATACTTTATAAGTTATTCAGGGTGAACAAGTTGCGTGGACCACTCTGTATATACATACATATTCGCACATGCACACGAACACAAGGCGGCGGCCGACTGCATGTATCTTCGACGTTGTTCTCTGGGTGTTTGTTTTAATTTTGTCTTAAGGTCATGCGTGTGGCGGATATGTTTGGCGGCACCGAAGTACGGTGACAGAGGGAGCTCACTGAAACTTCAGGGTGATCTATTTTGGTACTGCGACGGACACAGGGCTACGAGGCCGTCAAAATAGCAAACTGGTCGCCTTTGCATACTTTCGGCGAGACTCTCGTGATTAAAGACGGAGGTGGACGGCGGTAGACGGAGTAGGACTGAGATGGACTGAGATGGACGGAGGTGGACAGAGAAGCGACGGAAGTCAGTAATAAAGGGGGAACCGCGGTCTTCCCACCTTTCCTTTTTTTCATTTTGACCTAGTGAAGGCTGCCCATCTATCATGTTCGCGGGAATTGTTGTGGCACGCGTTTTGCTTGACTCGTTGATGCTGATGATTCTTGCTGTAGCATTTTTCACGTTCTTCCTTTTCAGTGATTATTATAAATGAATATCTCTCACCCTGTCCCTCTATTTCTCTTCTTTTTATTGGTTGGTTCGTCTTGTATGCGCTCAGAAGATAAATGTTCAGATGATCCTCCAAGACTTTTCAGAAAATTGTACAATAATGCTTCAAGAAGAAATTGGTGGATAAGGGAGTAAGCTGCGTTAGATTTTCGAGTTTCGAGTCTTGTTTGATGAATATCATTTCAAGGGAAGTGCGAATCAAATACACTGAATAGAAGCAAGGTAAAGTATCGGAGTGGTACTTGACATTGTATCCAAATATGAAAAAAAGGATCAATTAATAAAAAATTTGATAACTGAAGCCTGCTTACTTCAAATTTATTGCAAATTTTAGTCTTCGAGGAAAATAATGTCCTTTCATTTATTGTTAAACTGTAATTATTTATGCAATGTGGCAGTTTTATAAAGGTTTTTATTAAACAGGTAAGTAATTAAAACTGTATCGTTTACACTGGAAGATCTAATTATTAAACATACATGTATTAAACCTTCTTAAAATGTTTTATTTTGTTTTACCTGTTTGGATAGTTTATAAATGCATAAACATCCGAATTTCTTTTTCTAATTATCTAGGAGAGAGTCATTTTTGGAAACTACTTAATTTTTGTTTAATCTTTAAAATTATGTAAGATACCAAAGTTTCGTTATACTTTATATGGCACACTTTTTGCAAATTTTCTTGTATTGATCCTAATTTGAACTACTGATCGCATATTAATCCTCCGTCATCAAAATTCGTTTAAACGTTGGTAATATTTTCCAAATGAAATCACACTATGTGTAGGAGATTCACGAATCAAAACTGAAGCAAGTTATGTATTGCTTTACAACTTTGTATAAATAACAAAATCATTCATCGCTACACTGAAAATTTTATGCGCTTATAATATACAGGGTGAGGCACTTAAAACCGGTCACCTGAATAACTTGGCTGCTATTGGTGATAGGAAAAAATACATCAGGCCAAAATTGATCAGTCACAAATGACCTTTTCAATAGGTGATTGTATTCGTCTTAAAATACTCTATCAGAATGTAAGTAAAAAAACATACCGTTCCGTTTAAAAAAACAGAGATGACCTTCATACCTCCTTGACGCCTCCACCTATCAAAAAACTAGTAGCATCGGATGATCAGCCCCTCGATACCAAATAATTTTGGCCTGATGCATTTTTTCCTATCACCAATAGCACCCAAGTTATTCAGGTGGTCAGTTTTAAGTGCCTCACCCTGTATAAAAATGTACAGAAGGCAGTGTAGTCGAAATAACAATATTTTTATATTATTCATCACACAATTAAACTTTTGTTGACACAAGGAAAATCTTATTTCAACGTCTGTAGATTAAAAGTATAAAATCGCGTAAATAATTGCAGTCTACAATAACGATGACATGCTGACAATATGATGGTCTTCATACCACAAGGAATAATAGTACGCACTTCTACAAGCATAATTGGAAACTAACGATAAAGCCCCGTACCATTCAATTAAGGGATTTTTGAAGCATCACTGTACAACGTTCTCAACATACGTCTGGTTTTAATCCTTCGAACGGCTGACCGAAAAGTCAGCAATATTCTGCGAGTGTGGCGTCAACGTGTTTGGAACGAAAGGAACTCAGACAGAGTAAAGAATATTCGAGCTTGGATAGCGCGTACCGGCGAGAAAGAAGAATAGCTTGCGAAAAAATCGGTAACACCGTAAGAAGATCTTGTGATATTCTGGGCATGTTTAGGTGGAACGCATACGGTATGACTCGAGCGAGGCGATTAGTTGCGTGAGGATGGTTCTCCTATCATGAAAGCCTGGTTTTCCGTTGAATAGCTGGCCTTTAGAAGCAAGTTTCGTTAGTAAACAGAAAACGACGAACAGAGTCAGCGAACTGGTGGTGCGTTGGGACGGTAGAGAAGAGAAACAAGTAAGAGAATAACGAGGAGGGCTGAGATGTGTTACAAACATTCGCTCGAGAAACGCGAGGCAGTTAAACCAGACAAAAAACTATAGAAGAAGAAGAAGAAAAAGAAGAAGACGAAGGTACAAGATGAAGAAGAGGCGTCTAGATCGCAGATCGGATGCAGAGACATAGAAAGAACACATCAAGATGGAAAACTCAAAATTACCTTTCTCGTAGAGAGTAAAAGTGGTGATGGTTGTGGTGGTGGTGGGATGGTTTTTGGCATGGGTTGTTTAGTGCTCACCTCTGGGGCTGGTCGATCTTGCTCCGCCCCTGTCATCCCAGTCTTCAGGTCGAGGTCGAGGCGAGAGCCTGCCCCCTCCAGCAACCTCCTGACCGCTTTGCACGTAGTGCACAATGGCAGAGGTTACTTCCTTTATCGAGTTCCTTACTTCTAGCTGCTGATTCGTTGTCTGCTGTTGTTGTTGCTGCTGCGGGGACGAAATAACTATTTTAATGTCTCGTTTTTATAATAGGGGGTAGTTGGGAACAGTAAACTTGTACACACTCGAGTAGGAATCCAGGGGAGACCGGGGCAATGTGAGCCTTGGGGTAAAGTGGCTTTTTTAATTATTTATTTGAAAATAGAATATATTTACAAATTCTTGTAATATATTGAATTTATATAGTATAACAATGATAATTATGCACATTCGTGTACTAAACAATGTATATTCATTTAAGAAATTAAGAATGAAGTTTTAGGTATTTCCGAATGGTCTTTTTTTTCAGATTAGCTTTTTGGATCGTGTGGTATTGCTGGACTGTTTATGTCGAGGCGGAGGAGATAAAATTGTCTAGGCCCAGGCCCTTTAGGACTTCCGAGTCGGCGGAGCGATAAGTGCAGATGGGCGCATGGTTTCGTTTCTGAGAATGGATCCATATACTCTGTGTGAGTTTGGCGTGGAGAGTTTTTTTAGAATATCTGCGTGGGAAAAGGCGTTGGAAAGGGGATTGAGACCTTCGGGTCAGGGCGCGAAAATCCAGCGTTGATTGGGACATTGCGTGGAGAGTATCGTGGTGAGAATCGTGGAGTTTGTGTAGAGTTCCAGTCTGAGAATTGCGTGTTGGATTGTTGAACATTTATTTTCCTTATATTTTATGTTGTATATATCTTATTTTATTATTAATAAACTTCAATTCTTAGTTCTAAACACGGGCACACTTATTTTAATAGTCCCACAATAGATGAGTCATAAACATACTACTTGCGCTGATAATTATTTTTTTTCTAGAGATATCCAAGATAATATAAATTCATGTTTTCCGTTACGTCATTAATTAATGTATTATAATTAACACTTCGTGTTAAATATTAGATATTATTAATTTTCATTTAATTTCATAATAATTTTAATTAATAATTATAATTTTATAAATGATTATTTAGCATTTTTATTTTATTAATTGTTATTAATAGTTATTTTTTTTTAATATTAATTTTAATTTAATTTCAGAGGAAAATGTGTTTATCTAATTAAAATTTAGCGACGTTAAATTTCTATTAAAAAATAGTTTGAATATTTAAAAAATTTTAATAAAGTTGATATAATAATTATGACCTTAATTAACCCATAACCGGTGTCGTGGAGTCAAAATGTTTATTTTGTGTCATACTTATTTCTACGGTCTATCAACCATGTAGATTTCCACACTTTCTCAAAATTAATAAAAATTAAACCGTATATACATATAACTCCAGTATATATAAGAAATAAGTGTAGGCTTCACGATGTCAAATTATTTAAGATACAAACATGGGACATTTTATTTCAGCTCACTTTACCCCAGATAATAGCTCAGTTTACCCCATACATGGAGTAAAGTGAGCCTTTTGGTTTTGTGTTTTCAAGTTGAGTTTTAAAATATTTCAAGTTTGTCTAAAGTATTGCTACTCGTAATTTGTCAATACTAATGTTTAAATTATATTATAAAATTATCCGTACACATTTTTATTAAAAAGAAAGAAGTTTATTCTACTTTAAACTTTTTTAGGGCCACTTTGCCCCGGTCTCCCCTATTTGTATTGGAAACACTTTATTAACAGCGTTGCTATCATTATTTGGCTTGGATACCGTCCATCGGAGGTATTGTTGAATTTTCAATTCTGGAACTCCAGCTTCTGTGAGTAGTTAACAAGAATAATTAATAAAATTTGCATAAACGTCCGTAGCTTAATCAAAACGTTCACGATTGAATGTTTGTAATAAATACGTCGTAGAGTATGCCTTTGTTAATCCTAGTATTAAAAATTAATTAACTATCATTTTTTAATGTTTTGTTTGACGAAATATTAACCCTCTATGGCCGGTGCCGGAGTCACGCGCACCCGAGAGCGACGCGCTCACAGTGACGGTGCTGTCCGTGAAATTCGGGAATTGATCGACGTGTGACATTGTATCAAATGGCCTCACGTCTTCGGCTCACTCTATTTCCTTTTTTATTCACTGTCCTTTCTTCTAGTCGACGAAACTACTAGTCTCGGTAAGAGCCACCGTGACTTTGTGTTAGTAACCTATCGATGTGTGTCAGAAATGATCCGGCTTCAGACACTCCGTGAGTCCAGTACTCGGCGGGTTAAGCACGAAACTTCCGGTGTTTTTCATTTTTTTTTCGAATTTATCAATAAAAAACAAAAGTTGGCCTCGAACCGTAACCGACCCTCGCCACGCTCATCTTTCCTTCGCTTTCCTCTTTGTCCAATTTATTTTTAATTTACGCAGACAGCGCGCAAATGCGACAAGGTTTCTATAATTAGACATTCTGGCAGAAGTCCTCGTCCTGGCGTCTTGTGGCCTTTGAATCCCACGACAAATTGACTTTTACACGAGACGCAATTCCCAGGTCGCGTTTCGTTTGACTTCGTGAACTTCGTTCATCTCGTTACCGACAAAAGTCTGTTCTAAAATAAACGATCTATTTCGCGGTCGTTTCGACGTGTCTACGGTTCGTCTTCTTTTCTTGTCGAGAAGTAACAGGGAATTATTTCATTAGGTGTATGCAAAAGTAATGGCACTAACGTTTCAGTTGGTATCGTGTTTTTATTTTCTTTGTCGACAGGCAATTAGACTTTTGATAAATAAGTGGTAAGGAATTGTATAAAACTAGGAGTATTATTTGGAGGAATGGTCATTAATTTTCCACACACATAAAGTTTAATTATTAAAATACTTTAAGACTAATTCACACATTGAAGTTTCAGTAGGGTGAATTCTATTAATTCTAAAATGGTATGGCCGACTAAATATTCTTAGCAATTTCTTCAGTTGAGGTGTAAATAGAAGAGAATCTGCACTTCTAAGATAGAAATGGAATATATTATAAAAATTACTTTATTCTAACATATGAAAAACAGTGGAAGGCTGTAATAAATATTGTTTTAGCCATTACTTCACTCCCATCATCAAATTGCATCTATTCCAATTCTGGATATTACGTTACTGATACCCAGAAGTTCATGGAGATTATGAGTCCATGCTGTTGGTGCGATACTAATCACGCCATTGGCCGGCGACACGAGCGCCGTGTATCGTGTGTGGTTGGTAGTACTGCGGCGTGCTGAGTTGGTACGCGTTGCGGGTTTTCTCACGCTTGTTCTCTTTTCGAACGCTCAACGAGCATGTTCATACACTTAATAAAGATTTTCGTTGTGCATTTACACAGTTGTGAGTTTGTTTCTCGCCTTAATCCCTAACACATGCTATGCAACATATCGGTGCAGTGAATATTCGACAAATGTTCAGAGTTCATGGTCACCAAAGTAACGAAAAAATAATTTTGTTTATACATGATGCATAGTGGAAATTTTTTCTTTTGGTGGTATAATAGTCCAAAGGAATTGAACAATTTCTCAATTTTCGGGTTCGGAACCTTTCCTTGTGAGTCCGAGTCGAAGAAAAGGACGAGTGAAATACAAAAAGGTAGTGATAGTCGAAGCAGCAAAAAAAAAAAAGGCTACGTATCCATGAGAACATATTAACACAACAATGAAACATTTTTATTTTTGTTTCCTCGTTTATAAAACTTTTATTAGCATAGTGGAGATTTTTCTGATTAAAATGATACCAAACATGAAATAATTTAGACCATATTTATTTAATCAACTATTTCCTTCATTATTACATTTGTTAGTTACAAATGATCAAAATTATATCATGTTTGTGGTATCATTTTAATCAAAAGTATCTTACTAATATGTTAATGAGGTTTTCATTGATAAAAGATAAAAAATAAACAGGTTTTAAAGTTCCATTTGCATTGTCACATCGATACGCGGCCTTCTAAACTGTTTTGTCTGTTTCAGTTCACCGTTGATTGAAGGACGGGAAGTTCACGTATTTACATTGTGCCCCGACTGTTCCAAGAGGGATCTGGCCTTTACTACGTATGCGCGTAGAAGATCTGACCATTCGTCGAATATGCTCAGTGTTTTAACTCGAAAAACGCCCTCGCTGGTAAATCGAAAAAGTTAGATAGCCTAGAACCATTCCCGAAAATTGCACTACACGATAAAACAAACCGTATCAAAATTGATCCAGTAGTTCTTGAGTTATAAACGAATAGGGGGATAGATACATTTTTTTTTATACATACAATAAACAATAATAAATAATGAATAATAAATAATAATAATAAGGATATACACCCCTACCAATAAAAATGAAGAAACTTTTTATGAATATCGTATGTATTACTTCTGTTTATGCATAAGTGATAAATGTTATTTTCAAATAGTTTTTTACGTTTTTACAGAGTAAACAGTACATGGATCTTCCATTTTCTTCAAACCTTTAGATACTCAAGTGATAAACGAAAATATATTATACTGTCCCTGGTTAATCATTTTGTTTCTAAACGTTTACCAGTAAACATACATTAGTACATATTGTATATAATATGAAATATATTATCTTTGTTTGTACCATTTTTAGTATATGCAAAATAATGACGATTTATTATCATGATTCTTACGTGCTTTGACTACAAACTTATCAAGTGTCCTGACACTTAAGACCGGAAGTACGCGTTCTCCGCGTTCCCTTTTCAAATGTTGTAAGTTACTTTTTTGATCCTTCTTGTGATGAATTTTGAACACTTTTAAATACAAATACAATAAATACAAATCTAAATGAAGTTCTTTTAAAGAGGAATACAAATAAAATTCTTTTAAATACGAATACAAACCTTGTTTGTTGCTTGCAACTGGGGAAGAATACCCTGAGCAAGACGTTCGGCCGGTGTTCGCGGATTTGTTAAACGTTCCTGTGAACGCCAGCCCAAGTACGGTTGTCGATGGTTGAAAGACGACCTCGCCGAACTTGCCGGCGAACTTCCGGCGCTGTTCAGCAGACTGGTACTCCATCTTGAGAATACAGGTGGCGTCGGGCTTGGACTTAGAAGGGCACCTGAACAACGTTACCGAAAACATTTCACATTTAAGGCACATTTTAAGTGATTCTAATTATATAATGAATATAATGCAACTTACAGACCTACTTCAATTCATATAGAGTTGGTCCAAAAAGTATTCGTACACCCTTTAAAACACAATAACTCTTTCAAAATTGGGCCAAGTTACTTGAGTTTCTATGTGAAGTTAGAAGGATTAGTGTACTAAATGATGTGTTAACAAAATGTTGGAAAGGTTTCAATTGGTCAGAATCGCGAAGAAAATAGTAAAGTTCGAGTTCTTTGGACTTTTTTATCTGAGATTGTAATGAAAATTTAATAAATACATTGCTTAGATTTATGTTAGTTATATGCATGCTGAAAATTTCGTCGAAATCGGTTAACATTGTTATGAGATACAAACGGTTAAAAATGTTGAAAATCGCAGTTTTTCGTGGCATTTGACCAACAACTGTAGTATATCTAAAGATTCTTACATCTTTCGATGCCTGTTACTCGTTTCTGTATGAACCGATTTGAATAAAACTTGCAGTATGTATATAACTGACATAAATCTTCAAAATGTATTTATTCAATTTTCATTACAGTCTTATGTTAGTCAAAAAAATTGTGAAAAACGACATTTACTATTCTCTTAGCGATTCCAATCAATTGCAACTTTTTCAACATTTTGTTAACACATCATTTAGTATACTAATCGTTCCAACTTCACAAAGAAATACAAGTCACTTGGTCCAATTTTGAAAGAGTCATTCTGTTTTAAAGGGTGCTTACTTTTTGGACCCACTGTACGTGTTCAAATCAATTAATGCCGAAGTTATATTAGTAGCTGTTACAGAAACATTTAACTTCATGTATTCAATATGGTAGCCGTTGGTAACGTTACGCTTCGACGTACCGTATAATCGATCGACACTTGACATTCAGAGCTAATTCTTTGCATACATTTTACCAATGCAAAATATACTGTAAATATTACACATTTTTCACACATCTTTATCCTATTTTCTGTATTAACATGCAACTGTCAACTAGAATTATAATAATATAGAAATATAATTTCATTGATGGTCTACAAAAGATATGTTGGAAAACATTAATGCACTGGTGGTTCTAAGAAAGTTTAAAAGAAGTATCTGCTAACAGAACGGGGTCTAATTTTATTGAAAGAAAGTACCATTTTCAATGACATTCAATTTATAGTAAAATTATGCATTATGTAAATCCATGACAATCATAAACTATTTACTCGATTTATAATAATAAGAATAAATGTGCAAAATTACTTTTGCAAACTGGATTTAAATTTATAATTTCTTGTAGTTGTATATATATAT